TTTTTGGGAAAGGGGGCTGTTCAGCTTTTGCAGCTAATTTATTGAAGGAATAAACTTGACCCTTTCTAAGAGTGTTTTGTCATTATCATGTTTATTTTGTGCCTTCTTTTGGTTTGTATCTCTCACATAAAGTTTATTGAGTAATAATGTTCATTTAATTAGGGGCATCCATTTCTAACATACAATTCATTGTATGACAAATATATGTACTACCACCTTAATCAAGACATAAAATATGTCTATTATCCAAAAAGCACCCTTGTACTTCCTTGCAGTCAGTCTTCTCCCACAACTCCACACCCTTACCAGCCCCAAGTTGTCACTGTTACCTGTCACTATAGATAAGCTTTACATGTTCTAGAATTTCATCAACTATCCAGCTTGTTTTAAAAATTACAATTATCCCATGTCATAGTATTGTGTGTATTGTTTGAATTGAAACTCAAATAAGTACCATATAGGAAACGATTGGGTACAGGGCTCTAGCTCAGTGGTAGAGGGCTTGCCTAGCGTTCCAAGCCCTGTAAAGAAAATGAATGACACATCCCTTAAATATCTTCTAAATTTCTTTTCCCTCCTCTCTTCCTAGTAATTTGTTGCAGATTCTTGGTCATTTGTCCCATAGATTTTCTGATAGTCTAGATTTTGTGTGTTTAAATTACTCCTCAGTCCTCTCCTTTCTGTAAATAGTTCTTTAGACTTGATCTGATTGAGATTGGAGTTTTGGGGCCCATGCATTTTTAACTGAGTTGAAGGATTACAGGTTTTAACATTATTCTGGTTGTAACAGAATTTAGCTACATATGCAAAATAGTGAAATTTATTGGCTCACATAACTGAAAATTTCAGGGTATATCATGAATGTGAGACTCAGCACATAATCATGTCTTAGCCCTTCTTTTTACGTCTTTCTTGAGTAGCATCCTCAATTTTATTTTTTTCCATTTTTATTAGGATACACTTGTTGTACATGGGGGATTCACTGTGACAACTCTCAATAGCTTTACATTATACATTGGTTGGATCCCCACACCCTACCCCCGAACCCCTTCCTGCCCCACTTAAAGCAACTGCAAGAGGTTTCATCCTTCTGTTTCTTTCCATTCTGCTTTGATTCTGGTCTTTCTGAGTTTTGGCTTCGTTCCCCACACCTTCTCAGATCAAGTCTATTGAAAATAAATGGCTCAATTTCATGTCACTAGCACTAATTGGCCTGGCTTGGGCCAAGCATTCATCCTGAATCAATTAATAGCGCTAAGGAAATATGACTGGCTAGATTAGGGTGCCATGAAACAGGCAGTCTCACCAGAACCACACTGATTGTTCATGAATTTAAAGAAACTTGAAGGTGGGTGGTCGTGGCTCACGCCTGTAATGCTAGTTACTCAGGAGGCAGAAATCAGGAGGATCGCAGTTACAAGTCAGCCCCCAGTAAACACTTTGCAAGACCCTATCTTGAAAAAACCCATCACAAAAAAAGACTGGTGGAGTTACTCAGGAGGCAGAAATCAGGAGGATCGCGGTTACAAGTCAGCCCCCAGTAAACACTTTGCAAGACCCTATCTTGAAAAAACCCATCACAAAAAAAGACTGGTGGAAAGACTCAAAGTGTAGGCCCCTAGTTCAAACCCTAGTAAGGCAAAATAAAGAAACCTGAAGTCTACCATCACAGTTGGTTTACAGAGATTAACTTACTTTTCAAATATATTTACTAATCACCTCTTACTAGATAATTTTACATATAATCACCCTCCCCCTTTTTTTGGTGGGACTGGGGTTTGAACTCAGAGATTCATGCTTGCAAAGCAGGTGCTTTACTTCTTGAGCCACATCGTCGGGCCATTTTGTTCTGGTTATATTTTGGAGATGGGGTCTCGCAAACTATTTTCCTGGGCTGACCTCCAACCGCGACATTTTTTATCAGTCTCCCAAGTAGCTGGGATTACAGGCAGGAGCACTGGCGCCCGGCTAACTAGGCCTTATTTATAAACATCATTTCCACTGAAATGGACTAGAGTGATCACAGTGTTCTCGGTAGTAAAGACTGGGGAGAGATCCTCAAAATTGAGCGAATGCCCCTGCCTCCTATCCGAGAATGAGCTCTGTAGAAATAAAAATGGTAGTGCTTACGTTTCAATACTGAAGAAAGTAATAAGCAGAGGAAGGGGACGACGGAGAAGCGGGGTGAAGAAATGGGAAGCCGACCTTCCGCCCATAAGGAAGACCCACCTGCAGGCCACCGGGTGACCGTACGGTTACGGGGTGGGAATTTACAATGAAGAGCTCAGAAGTGAGCCATTACCGGCCATTGCAGAGGACTGGTGGTTTCATAGAACATTTCTTGGTGGCGATTATTAGCATCAGGGTTTCATAAGAAAGGTAAGAACACTCTGGAGCGGACACCAAGTTTTGTTAGCGGTCAACAAATTCGGTTTCTACTTAGGTAGCGATGAGCGGGCATCGCTCCCTCTGGCCGGAAGCATGCAGAGGGACGACAGGGGCCACGCCCCTTGGCGCCCGGCCCCGCGCGTGCGTCACTTCCGGTCCCGGGAATGCACATCCGGGTCAAGTGAGCCTCCTGCGCTCCGTGACTAGTGGAGGTGCCGCGCTGTCCGCCTTATTTCCTCCTGGTGAGAGGTGGCCGCGGCGTCCACCGGCAAAGAGCTACCGGTGTCCCAGGCAGAGGGGACCTGGGGACGGGCAGTGGCGGTGCCACGCTGCTGTGGGCTGGCGACTTTGCCGCTCCGCTTGCTGCTGTCTCTGAGGAGCGGTGGCCGCGCCGCGCTGAGGGGCCTCCCCCAGACGGCCACCCCGTTCCCCGGCTGCCCTGCCCACCCTGCCGGGGAGGGTGGAAGATGCCAGTGAAGAAGAAGAGAAAATCCTCCGGGGTGGCAGCGGCAGTAGCGGAAGACGGAGGCCTCAAAAAGTGTAAAATCTCCAGGTACCCCCCTCCCCCGCCCCAAACACTTTCGGTCTTCCCTTTCGGACCTCGTGTTTGCCGGTGCGCTTGGGGAAGAGCGGGAGTCGCCCCGCGTCCCAGCTGCGTGCCTGGGGGGGGGGAAGAAAGACTCATGCACGACTAAATTGCAATCTTCCCCTCCTCCTGCCAACCTCTGCCCCCTCAATCGCCTCTCGCCTTCTTTCCAGACCTAGAAGTGAGGGTAGGACCTACGAGAGGGGTCACTGCTAGAATCTCTTTGTAGCGTGTAAAGGAAGGAGCAGAGCTTGAGGAATCTTTTACCATTGCCCGGGGCACCGTGGAAAGGAAGACCTTGCTAGATGGCCTCCAGAGTTAGTGTTTGGAGTGGCCCAACCTGGACGGTCTCGGCAGGAGACATTTTGCATTGCTGGAGCTCGTTTGCTGGAAGTATTGTGGCTCCAACCTGTGCCAGTTCCCTGCATGCTTTTGTGTTTCTAGCGTTCAAGACGCTGTTCACGCTCAGTATGACTATTCATAATTTTGGAGCTGTTGTAATCTGCATTCCCTTGGAGAAAAAGCAGATAGAACTGTATTGAAATAGTTCTTTGATGCCCTTGTAGCGTATCATTCAGGCATTACAGAAACGTATGCTACAGAAAGTCATCGCAATTCAGGTGTGAAAGCTGTGCCTCTCCCCCATCTCCTGTGGTTGTCTTTGTATCAGTGGCTGACACCTTAGATGCTACTGTTAAAACAAGACAGTAGCCACCATTATAATAGAGCTCTCCTTAAACACAGATCTGTGGCTTAAACTGTGACTTGTGTAGCCTATGTCTTCCTCTTTGTAATTCAGTTTTTTCCTTCATTACTGTGTTTTGGCCAAAGGAACACTTCTGGGCTATTAATGTGATACTTTCTTATGTCTCTTGGTAGCTAACATTCTAATTTGATTACTAGCTCATGTTTTTATGAAACATAGGCAAAATAGGTTTTTGATTTCTCTTTTTGCCATCATTTTGGTTTTTTGAGTCACGGGCTCACTAAATAGATCAGGCTGGCCTCCAACACAAAATCCTCCCATCTCTAACCTCCCAAGTGCTGGTATTACAGGCATGTACTAGCACACCTGGCACTTTCTGCCATCTTAGGTTTATAATGTATCAAAATGAAATATTTAAGCTAAGCACATTAAAATAGCTGAGCAGGCAGTATTAGAATGCAGGTGATTCCTTGCTCTAGCAATTTAAAATTTAAATATGGCATCTTTACATTATGCAATTGCAGAAATTCCAGAGTTTTCCTACATTTTGTGATAGTCTAATTATATGAGTTCTTCGAAAAAATGTTCTCTGAAGTCCATTAAATCTTAGAGGCCATTTTTGAACTTCCCAGCTTTTAATAATTTTATGGAAAAACATCTGGAGTTAAATAGCTTTGATTCAATTATTTGGGCTATTACTAATTATTAACTTTTAGGAATTTTGGTGTGTTTTTTGATATATTAATCTGTGGAGTTTAATATACCTTTTAGGTGCCAAGTCACCATTTATCGTTAAAAATCTATTTAAATTTGATATGTGTTACATAAACAACTCTTACTATATCATTTTATTTTGAAATATTAAGTATCAGTATACTTTGTAAGATTTTCTTTTCAAATGTATACAATTATATGAAAAACCCACACAATTTCCATGCAAATCAATAGCAGAATCACAAAGATTTATACTTTCCCAGTTCTGCTTTGAGACATAGTCTGTGTAGTCTTAAAATCTGGGGAAATAAATTTTAGTTGATGTTTTGGAATATGATGGCAAAGAAAGTAGCATTTGGATTTTGTTAGTCAGAAATTTGTATGTATAAACTATTTTTTCAAATTGCAACTACTTAACTCCATTTTTTTCTTGTAATGCCAACTTAAGAAAAATACTGTTTCATATGAATTGTAATAACTCTTGTTGGACTTAGTTTTTCACTAAGAGTTGAGACTTGATAAATATCTTAGGCATTGTGTGTTTTCTAAGCTATTGCAGATCCCAACCCCCTGCTAGACTAATAAGTGGAGAAGAAGATTTTTCAAGAAAGAAGTGCCTGGCTTGGTTTTATGAGTATGCAGGTAATAAAATTAATTTAAGATATCTGTCAGATACTTTAAAAAAGTTTGTTTATTTAACTATTTATTGCAGACCTGCTGTATCTTAGTGCTGTGTGCTGGGATCAGAGTCAGGACTAAGGATTGTGGAAAGGGTTAAGAATTCATTGCCATTTCAGGCTGATATTTCTTTAAATATAGGTTCAGTATATATTTAGTAGAGGGGAAAACTCATTTACTGTTAGTATATAAATAGTCACTGACATGTGCATCCATTGGCTGATGTACTATTCTAGAAAACAAAAGTATATAAGACATTTTTCTATTCAGCATTCTTTGTCTTAAATTTTCTGAAGCAGAACATAATATATTCTGAATCTTTTGAGGAGGCATCGCAAAAGATTTAAACCTCAGCTATATCATTGCACACACTTTTACCCTTTAATGATACTAATAAGAAAGTCAGTAGATTGGTCTTAATACAGGGTGGTAAATATTAGATTAGGAAAGGCACATTAAAAATTTATAGGAGTAATATGTAACCCTGCCTTGAAAGTGTCAGGGCAGCCTTTTTGGAGGCGCTAACTAACCTGAGTTAAATCCTTTAAGTGGAAAAGCTCAAGGTGACGCCATATATACCATAGAGGTAAAAGTCAATGCCAGCTGAGACTGAAGCCAGATGAGATTGAAGACTAAGTAAATACATGGAAAAGGATGTTTCGTATTTATTAATAACTTTTACATAAGTATATATTACAATTTTTTCCCCTTAGAATAGTTTTGGTCTTTTAGAGTTACTGATTTTAAGATAACTGTTTTCTTTTCCCTCTTTTCCTTACCTGCCTTCCAGTTTTTATTTTTTGGTTTTCCTCTTTTGTCACTCTCAAAGTTTTTGCTTAAACTAAAAGCATATGTAGTTATTACCTTATATTTAGGTAGGCTAACTGTATAGAAAGTTACATTGCTTTGAAAAGGGGACAGCAACTTTGCTGTTGTGATGAACTGAGTGATCCCAAAAGTATAATTTGGAAATTGTTTAGTAGCAGAACAGATTCTTTCTAGACCAGGAAAAGAAATTGCTATTACTAGCATCCCAAGACAACCACTAACCCAATTTAAATGAAGAGAATTCATTTTCTTACTGACCTCTATTTAAAATGTTGACCCATTATTCAAAATGCCAATTTTACTTGTATGCATGATGTAGAATCAAAAGGTCACTCATTATTTCACTTACAGAAGTTACTAGCTACTATAAAAATAACTAGTACATTATTTTTTTTCTTTCATGTTTGTTTTAGCCTCCTGAGAACTTTTTCTGGGTGTTGTATGATTCAAATTAGTTAAGCATTTCTTTCCTGCATCAGCATTTTGATAGCCGGCATAATAATTGCTGTCATTATTCGAGAATCCTGCTAGGTATATCATTTTTTTCTTATGAGTGTTCTCTTATATAGATGGTGTCACCCTAATTTTATGAATGAGAAAATTGAGGCTTAGATTAAGTAATTTTCCCAAGGCCATACAATCACAATAGCCAGGATTCAAATCCCACCCCACCCCCCAACAACTGTTACCCTAGAGACCATGCTTTTAATTACTGCAGTCCTATAAAGTGTATTTTTATATGTACATGACTGTACATATATGTACCTGACTCTTTGGTAACTAATTTTCACTTCTGCACAAAAAAAATACTAATAAGTACATTTGGGGTTATCTTCTGTCATTCATTCAGTGATTCAGTTAATAAATATTTAGTGCTTGTTTGTGAGTCAGGCTAAGTGCTTGAGATATAATAGTGAAGAAGTCAAACCTGATCCCTGCCTTCAGGAAACTTGCTTCTAGTAAGGAAACAGATAGTAAATAGGTATGTAGGCAAGGTAACTACAGATTGTGGAGAGTTACATGGTAAATAGATGGTTCAGGAATAGAGAGTAAGAAAGAGTTGGATGGATTTTTAGATAGAGTGATTAGGAAAGGACTCTCTGGAGAGACTTGGGCAGAAACCCTCTTAATAGGGAGAAAGCAGTTGTTTACCAAATAAACAGTAACTTTTCTGTCTTATAATGGGGGTCTCTCTCATTAAAACGAGACAGTATTTGAGTGCAGTGAAGATGATACATGTACAGCCCCCTCAGCACAGTACCTGGCATGTGGTCAGAATTCAGTTAATGTTATTTATTAGAATAGCATTACCGCATTGGATATACAAATTGTGTCTTTTCTGTGTTCCAAAATTTACTACTATTATGTAGCTCATGGTGAAGGTGCTGTGTCATTTTGGGATTTGTTTTCCTAGCACCTGTTACGGCTTGCATGGTATTAGGCCCTCAACTTATAATTGGGAACATTTCTTCATGGTTTAAAAAAAAAAAAAAATCAAGAAGTTGTCTTCCTCTGGTTTTGAAACAATTCTATTATAGACCACGTGATAAACCTGATAGTTTTCCCCTTTCACGAGACCTGTTATTCTTGAGTGATATTTAATTAATAGAGTTGTCCTTCTTTACTTACGGGAGATTGGTTCCAGGATAACCAAACCACAGATAGCAGAATCTGTGGGGCTAAAGTCTCTGATTTAAAATGTTGTAGAACTTGCAAATAATGTACACACATGTTCCTGTAGGCTTTAAATTGTCTTAGGTTATTTATAATACCTAACACAGTGTGAATGCTTTGTAAATATTTGTTTAATGATGAGAGAAATAGCCTGTACATGTTCAGTACAGATGGAGTTTTTTTCCTTCAAATATTTTTGATTAAGATCTATGGATGCAGAGCTTACGGATATGGAAAGTCAATTATATACTGGGCCTATGCTAAAGAAAAACAAGTGAAAGGCAACTTTTGAAGTCTTCAAAAGCATTTAAAATAAAGTTAGAATTGCATAGTTCAACTATAGAGTGCACTAGTGGAGTGAGCTAAACCATTTCTATGACTGCTTTATTTGAGTGGAAAACTGATTGCCTGACAGAATTAGTTTTAAATTCAGTTCCATGGATTTTACCCAGGGAGCAGTTTTATGGGAAGGGTTTGGTTCAAAAAGAATAACATTGTGTGTTAGGGAAAGAACTTTGGGCCATTCTTTACACTCATAACTGTTACTGTTTGCATCCTTTTGGGAAAGTCACTTATTTTTAAAGACCGTATCGATATTAGGTCTTTTATATATATATATTTTTTAATTGAGATGGGTTTTAATCAAATTTTAATCACTAATTAGGTTAATCCCCCAGTTTCTAGGGGGGGTGACTTTGTGTGATGGGAACTGATATTTCTTGACATAACCCTTAAGTTTTCTCTTCTAATTGCTGATGACAATTTTGAGGGCAAGTCTGATTATTGCATCAAAAAATTTTAGTATATTTATATCAAAAAAATTAAGATAGTCTTATGCTTTAAAAAAAATCTTGTTTTCATATATTAAATTTTTTAATCTAATTTTTATTTTCTTAAATCACATATGAGTGCATGTTCAGTTATGTATTTTTAAAAACTTACTGATTTTGTATGCTTTTTCTTTTATTAATATTTTAAAATTTTTTGTGTATTAACAGATAGTAGTTATACAGGGGGGATGCTACACATGTGCTTACAATATATCTTAGTTTCACCCCCTCCATTATTCTGTCTTATCCCTCCTCTTACTCCCTCCTTAGAACAGTTTCAACAGATTGCATTGTTCTGTTTTCATGCACAAATACAAAATGCACCCACCATATCTGCCCTCTTTCACTCTTTTCCCTGTACCCTCCCACTTATGCCTGCTCCAGGACAGGACCTGTTTTAACTTCCTCTCCATTTTTAAAGTGTATATTGATTGTTCAAAGGGATTTTACCTTCATATGTCATATATGTATGTATCGTGCTTTTTGTTTTTTATTTACTCATTTATTTTGGTGCTGAGATTAAAACAAGGGCCTTATGCATGCTAAGCACACTATGATTGAGATATATCCCCAGCCCATATTGTATGCTTTACAAATTTAACACATGCTAATTAAAACCATTTTCTAAATATGTAATGTTAGGTGTCATCTTTTAACACCTAATGCACCATTAGTACTTATTTAAACTTGACATTTACTATTTTACACAAAAATTTTTTTTTAAAGTTTTGGTTTTCTAATGTATAAACATCATCTTGGCAGCCTGGGTCTCATGTCAGGCAGCAAGAATGTATTCATCACCTGGCTGCATTCTTCTGTTAAGAAAAAAGCTGAATATCAGCCTCATGTTGTGCTTGTAACATACTCATAGCACTATAAAATCCACTTGAGCAGGGTCTAGTCTATCACTTACAAGGATGGAGTATTTTTAGTCATTCAGAAAAGAAAATAAAGGCTTCTCTTGACTAATTTAAAAATATTTCAAGACTTATATTTTCATAGTGGTAAACACATTTCTGTGATATTTTATGTCATAAAATCCGTTTTAGTCTTATCCAGGCACAAAAGAGGCTTAGTCTTATCAAGCCACAAAAATATGTAATTACTAAATTGGGACTCTGATAGCAAAAAAACATGAGAATTGTATTGATTTATATTTAGTAATAGGGAGTAAAATAAGGAAAAGGTTAATTCTTGGGCAAGTGATAGACTTAGGTAATTGAGAGTCTAATTGTTATTTTGTTTCTATATATTAAGGCTGTATAACTAATGCCTTGCTATCTATTTAGAATCAATGTGATAAGGAAAGTACCCCCTCTGATAATATAAAATTTCCATAAGTCATTTTTAAAATATGTGCATTTTTTCAAGAATTAAATTACATTTATTTTAAGATGGTAATGAATGATCTTATTTTAGTAAGTAAGCAGGTACTCTTTCATTGCATTGAACTGTGAACCTAAGCCAATCGATTTAGAAGTACTTTATTCAAAGTAGGCTCTTGGCAAATGTTTAATAGGTTGACTAAAGTTTTTGTAGAAACTAGTAATTGGTACTAGTGGAGTATTTCTTTACCGCTCCATTTTAAAATTTCCTTAATTTCATTCATATTGTAAGGTGGTGTTCAAAGACTATTTCACAAGTTTAAAGTTCTAAATCATGTAGCAGATAGTTACACCATATCAAAGCTATGCCAAAATTCAAATTCAGTCACTTGTAAAATATTATGGGTGTATTAATGGATGCTTTTAGCATAACAGCTTATTTTATGTTGATACTGAATTATAATAAAATATTTAAATTATTTTTGTCTTTGAAGGTCCTGATGAAGTTGTAGGACCAGAAGGAATGGAAAAATTTTGTGAAGACATTGGTGTTGAACCAGAAAATGTATGTTTTATTTCTAAGTAGAATGGAATATAAGTGGGGTGTAGCATATTCACAAATTTCTATAAATTGAGACTTTAATCTTACATGAAGACTTTGTTTCTTCATATTTAGTATTGTAAATTTTCACTTAGAGTATTTTTAATCAGCTTAAGTTGGACAAGTGTTCTCTGGATGCAAATTTCATTTGTAATAGAGATTCTACTTCATAAAGTGTTAGAACTTTTTACTTTTTAAGAAATTTGTACATCTCAGTATCTTCATAATTAATAATTGCAGAGGTTGTACTCTTTAAAAGTTGAAGGTTGGAAATAGTTGTATAGAAATGCTCTCCGTGATAAATATAGCCATGATTATCTCTATGCTGACTTTTCTCCTATCCTTTTATGTTCTGTTCTTTCCAGATTATTATGTTAGTTTTAGCGTGGAAATTGGAGGCTGAAAGCATGGGATTTTTTACCAAGGAAGAATGGTTAAAGGGAATGACTTCATTACAGTAAGAAATTTTCTTAAAAAACAAATTTGATGGCCTATTTGAAGAGCTTATTGATATTTTGTGTTTCATCATTTTCAGGAGTAAGGTTTCACCTTAAAATAATCAAAGTGATTTGATCTACAATCAGCTTGAGAATTGACAAAATTATATTATGGGCTTGGCAAGTGAATAGTTACACCATCTTTAATATTCTGTAGGAAAGACCGTCTATAGAGTCTAATTGGAACTCTCTTGAGTGAATTAGAAGTCTATGATCAAAAAGTTACTTGTTCACAGGCTGTTTGTGTATTTTTCCCACTCTAATTATAGAACTCTATAGTATGAAAATATTGTTTATTGGATAATCCTAAATTCTGGGGCCTCCTCACCCCTCTTTAATACATACTTTTAAGTAGTTTTTTGCTATATGAATCTCAAAGAACCAAAGTAGAAATGTTCTGCAGAAGTTTTATAGTTCTTTCAGTTTAAGATGCTGTCTTTGAATATTTTCATAAGTTGTAGAATTGCTTCATTAAAAAAAATTGATTTTAGCTTTCTAGAGTAAAGTGTTTAATTTCAGACTCAATTAGGAATTATGTGATAATTTTATATAAGGTCATATCCCTAATGCTCATTCAGGATGTTACTGGTCAGCACTCTAAAATAGAAGAAGAATTAATTTATATTTTTCTTCTGCATGCTTGCTTTTTGAGGTGCTTATGACTGAACCCAGTGTTGCACATTTGCTAGGAAAATGGTCTACCACTGAGCTACATCCTCAGCCTTAATTTATATTTTTAATGTGGAAACTGGGTATTAAGTCATTTGGTTTCTTGTTTCGATTATACTGCTTTTAACACACTTAACTATTCTTAATCCTTATATGCCTGTCCTTCAGTTTTTTAAAAAAATGTTATGGCACTTAAATTTTTATATTTGAATTTCCAGCATCTAGTGCTTTTTTTCCCTTCTCTTTTCATACCAGCATTAACACACAGATACTTCATATTGTTTTTCCCTTAGGTAAAAACCTTTCCTCAGATGAACCAAATAATAACTTCTATAATAGTACATAAAACCAACTTTCCATTTCCATTATTTACAAATGACGAATCTGAGACTCAAAGAAGTTAAAACATTTGGAAAGTTTACATGGTTCTTTAGTAGTAGAGTTAGAATCTAGAATTTAAATTTCTTGGTTACAAGTTTGCCATACTATACTTTTTTTTCACATGTTGTCCTTTTATATCTAAATTAGATTTTTTGTAAAATAGAAGGCCATTACTAACTTGAATTTATAGTGTTTGTAACTAAGAATTCTGTCAGACATTTAGGTGTCCTAATCTCAGTTAAATACAGTAATTGTGAAATTTTGGGGCTATTTTCTGCCATTTAATTAGCTTTTTAGAGAAAGACTAAGATGTACAAAGGAATATGCAATGAATATAAACTAATTTTAATACAACTCAGTCTGTTCCATTAAAATCGTTTGGTGTAACATGGATTATTGTAAAACGTTTTATTTGTTCATTTTTATTAGCATACATTGTACAGGGGGATTCACTGTGACATTCCTGAATAGACTTACATTATAAGTTAGGTTCGCCCCCACCATCTCTCCCCCTCATCCTGTCCACCTAAAACAATTGCAGGAGGTTTCATTGTTCTATTTCATATTTGTATACAAAGCACATCAACCGTATTCACCCTTCTTCATCTCTTCTATTCCCCTTTCTATAAGTACCTCCCCCACCCCATGCCCTAGACCTGTTTTACAGTCCTTTCCTTCATTTTTAATTCCAAAGTGTTCAGAAGGGTTTTCTCAGTGTGTCTCAGCTGTGAATATACTGTACTATGGTCAATTCAACTCCCTCTGTTACTCTCTCTTACTCTTTTTATCTTATCTCCTGCAAATTGTTATGGCATCTGTTGGCACAGATGCAGTGTATTTCAATATTGTTGACTCTCTTATTCTGTTTTCCTTCCTTCCCGAGTTCAACGTGTTGTCTATGTAAATGTGTATATGATCATGCTTATTTTTGTATATATGTTTATATTTTGGATCTGCTTTCCACATGTGAGAGAGAATGTGTGACCTTTGTCTTTCTGAACTTGGCTTACTTTACCTAACATGATGTCCTTCAATTGTATCCATTTAACTTCAAACACTTGGTTTCATTCTATGTTATGGCTGGATATTACTCCCTTGTGTATATATACCTCATTTTCTTAATCCATTCATCAGTTGTAGGGCATCTGGGCTGTTCCCATAGCTTGGCTGTTGTGAACTGTGCTGCAATAAACCAGTGCAAGTGTCTCTCTATTGTATCCTGACTTACATTCCTTCAGGTATATGCCAGGAGTGATATCACTGGGTTCTCTGGTAGGTCTGTTTTCATTTTTTTTAAGGAATCTCCACACTGCTTTCCATAATGGTTGTACCAGTTTACATTCCCACCAACAGTATATAAGAGTTCCTGTTTCTCCACATCCTTTCCAGCATTTGTTGTTGTTTGTGTTCTGGAAGATGGGCATTCTAACTGAGGTGAGGTGAAGTCTTAGTATAGTTTTGATTTGTATTTCTTTTATGGCCGGGAAAGTTGAAAACTTCTTCATGTATTTATTGGCCATTTGTACCTCTTCCTTTGAAAACTGCATGTTCAAATCATGTGCCCATTTCTTCATTAGGTTGTTGATTCTTTAGGAGTTTAGGCTTTTCAGCTCCCTGTAGATTCTGGTTATCAGTCCCTTACCAGATGAATAGCTGGCAAAGATTTTCTCCCATTTTGTGGGCAGTCTTTTAAGTCTAGTGACTGCTGCGAAGAAGCTTTTTAGTTTGATGCAGTCCCATTTGTCCATCCTTTCTTTTAATTGCTGAGTCATTGGAGCTCTATTCAGGAAGTTATTTCCTATGCCTCTGTTCCAGTCTACTCCTTTCTGCAGTAGTTTCAAGGTTTCAGGCCTTATATTAAGGTTTTTAATCCACTTTGAATTGATACTGGTACAGGGTGAAAGACAGGGATCTAGTTTCAGTCTTTTACATGTGGATATCCAGTTTTCCCAGTAAAAATACTTTATTTGACATTATAAGTAGTTTTGTATTTAAAACCAAAAGTTTACAAAAAAGAAAAAAACATAAAAACCAAAAGTTTCTTGTTGATGTTTTTGCATAAGTTGATAGAGCGTTTGTGTAATTAAAATGTGTAATCATAGGACATGTCTTATATTTACTCCTCAATAGTTAGCATGTGGGTCTGAGTACAAGAACAGGTGTTACTAGCTGTGAGCTTGGTTTTCAGTAGCATACCTTTCCCATAGAAAGTTCACAGGCTATACAAAATAAAAATAATTATTCAATATTCAAAATTATCCCAGAAGTTTACCTTTCACTCATTTATCATCTTTTTACTCATTTGCATTGAACAGTATATGGTGGAGCTGTGCAACTACTCAAATTAGTATTCTTGGCTGGGAAAATTGTTGGGTTTTTTCCTCCATGATCTCGATTGCTATGTGAAGGATCTTTCCTCAGTTGGCCAAGTCTTTTTATTTCCTTAATATCCTTGTGATAAAGTTGCTAAGAATTAGATAGCTTGAAATTTGAGATTTAAATCAAGACCAAAAGTAATTTGTATGTCTTAACTTTAAAATTGATAGTTGTTTAATGTACTTAATTTTAAACAATAAAATATAAAACTTTTTACAATCTCTATTCCCTACATATATGTTTTATACTTTTAGAATTTAATTTAACCTAGGCATCTTCAATAATTTTAAGATAGTTATTCATTTTTTTCCAAAATAATTTAACCTGCAGAATACTTTAGGAGAATGATATTAAAAAATAGAAGTAGTCTGGTAGTTTAAGCATATCCTGTGGTGGAGAATAGAGTAGACTGTAATAATCTTGATTGATTATAATCTGCATTATTTTCAGAGTATCATAACTTCGTTTGTTTTAAGGTTGTCTATTCACAGATTTTCTGTAAATTAGTTGGCTCTCCATTTTGTGTGGATGTGTGTTTATATTTATATACAGCTGGATTTAACTTGGCTATTTTGTAAGTTTCAGGGGCTGAAATTACCATATCCTTTCCAGATACTTTGCTCCATGTTGTTTTCGTTTTTAACAATAGTAAGGTTTCTCCACAAATCATACTTAATTGTACAGACATTTATATAAATGCCTATGTTATATGAAGTATTGTACCACTTACTGATGATCACAGTGTGACATAAGACACAGCATTTGACCTTTAGTTGCATTCTAACAGGGTAGAAAAGACATTACAATACTTTAACCGTAAGTCCAGATCAGACGTAACAGCTGCTAGAGTAGAAATGCAAAATACTGGAAAAGCAAAGATACTAACTAATGAGATTAATTTCAGCTGACTGGATAAAGATGTGGCATTTGAACTGGAACATTAAGAATGATGAGGATTTTTTTGGTTGAGGATATGGGAAAATGTTTCAGAGGGGACTTAACAGAGCCTTAAGGAGAGAAAGCGTAAGTTCAAAGGAGGGA